GGACGGGGGTGGAGACGGTGCTGGTGCTGATGTCCCCGATGATGCTGAGAGCTTCCCTCAGGGCGTGGTACATCCTCAGCATCTCCTCCCGCCGCTGCGCCTGCTCCGCCGACTCCTCCATCAGGCTGCTCTGGTCCCCAGAGGAGTACAGGTAAGCCAGGAGCTCCGAGTGGATGAAATCCTTGGTCTGAAGGGGAAGAAGAAGAGGAGTGTGACTTCTAGATGTTGAAATTTTGGGAGGTTTGGATTCAAAATGGTTGGTTGGGGGGGATGGGGTTCTGCGTCCTCCGCCGCCCGACCGCTCCTCGTCGAGCTCGGACTCAAAACTCAGAATCCTTTAGGTTGGAAGGGACCTTCCAGATCATCAAGTCCAACCCTTGAGCTATTAGGGCTCTAAAGTCCTCTGCTAAAACAGATCAGGATCTGTCAGGGTTGAGGGGACCCCAAGGATCCCCCAGTTCCAACCCCTCTGCCATGAGCAGGGACACCTCCCACTCCATCAGGCTGCCCAGAGCCTTAAAGACCCTCAGGGATGGGGCCTCAACTTGCTTCTCCCTGATCTAAAGCAGAATGTTTGGGTTGGAAAGGACCTCCTAGAGGTCATCATCTAGTCCAACCCCCCTCCTCCAAGAAGGAGCATCTCCAACTAGGGTCAAGCTGCTCCAAGCTTGACCTTGAAGGAGGAAAAAATCTCCCTCCTGGGTGTTTCAACCTGTTCCTCCTTGTCCTGTCCCAACAGGCCCTGCTCAAAAGTCCCTCCCCAGCTTTCTGCCAGGCCCCTGGAAGTCCTAAAAGCCCCCTGGATGTCCTGAAAGCCCCCTTGATGTCCTAAAAGCCCCCAAGGTCCTTCTCCAGGCTGAAGAACCCCAACTCTCCCAGCAGAGCGCTCCCACCCTCAGCGTCTCTCCAAGATCACCCCATCCCTCTGGGTTTGGTGACACCCAACGCTGAGAGGAAGCCCCAAAACTCCTCCCTGGAGCACCCCTGAGGACCCTCACGTTGTTGATCATGAGGTGCATGATGGTCTTTGGCATGAGGTCCCGGATGGACTTGTTGATGATGCTGACATAAGAGTCCACCAGGTTCCGGATGGTCTCCACCTGCCTCTCCAGCTGAGGGTCCATGGAGAAGGTGTTTTCCTGGACACCATCCTCATTCTCTGTCTGTTCAGGGAAAAGCAAGACATGAATCACCACACCAGGAGCAGGTAGAGAGGAGAAGAACCCTCTCTGGAGCTCCACCTCCACCCTTTGCCACCCAATTCCCACCCTGGGGCTTTCCAACTGCTGGAATTTCAGAGCTCAGAACCAGCTCCGTGGGTGGGGCAGCCCCAAAACCACCAACACCCTGTGAAGTTTCACCCCTCTGAGACATCCCAGCACCTTCCAGGGTGTCCATGAGTCTTCTGGGACATGCCACGAGCCCACCTGAGAGCTCCTGACTCTGAAAGTTCCTCGTGGGACCTCCCCTCCCACCCCAAAATGTGGCCTGAGGAGGATTTGGGCAAGGGGAAGGTTTACTTGGTCTTTCTCTGGGTAGACTCCTGCTCTGAGGAATGAGGCTTTCCAGCTGTCCACGTCCTCCTGGGAGTCACAGGCCAGCTCAATCTGCCTCAGATCCTTGTAGACATTCCTGGGAAGGAGGAGGAGAGGCAGGGTGAGGAGCAGGGGGTGAGGAGCAGGGAGCCCTCCACGCCAGGGGACCCCAAATCCAGCAGCAAAGCTGCTGCTTCCTCGGGAGAAAATCCTCTCCTCCCACCTCAGAGCCTGGGCTGGGATCAACCAAGGGATGGGGAAAACCAGGAGAGAGTTTGGGGGTGGTTGGAGGGGTAAAACCAGGAGAGAGAGAGAAATTGGGGGTGGTTAGAGGGGAAAAACCAGGGGGGAGAGAGAGTTTGGGGATGGTTGGAGGGGAAAAACCAGGAGAGA